TGAACCCCGGAAAATGCCAACACCCCTAAAAAAGCCGACCACCTCTGTAACATGATCTGTTTTACTACGTCCGACTGGTAAAAAGTGCAGGCGAACATTCCAGGGTATACAAATTTGAAGTACAATAATTCTGTATATATAAAGTTTTACACTGATTGACCAGGTCGGCAAGCTCATCCATGCGATCCTCTTCCTCAAGCCGCGCATTCAGCAACTCCATTGCGTCAACATCCACCTGCGTTGCCTTGCCTCGCATATCTTGTACGTGTTGTCACCTTCGATGCGAATGACCAAACGCATCACACGCTACCAGGTAAGGAACGTGCTGTCCAATGCTTCTTCTGACATTGGCTTGAACGAATCTTCAACTGCGTGGATGAGTTCCGCCATTGAGCAGCACTCCATCTGCTGCTGAAGTGACTGAATAGAGTTGAAAAACCCAAGGTCGAGCACATTCAGGTCCGGCGACTGAGAAGGCTGTCATGTCAACTTGATCTTCCAACCACCAGAAGCGGCAGCAGCGGCAAAAACAGCGTCGTCAACGGAAATGTGCGGCCTCCCGTTCAAGCACGAGCTAATCTGCTTCAAGAAGGACGTTCGGCGCGATGAGCATATTTTGACCTCAATACACATAATTACGTTCATGAAGGCATATCATCCGACTTGGCTTGAAGACTACAAGGCGGCGAAAAAGGATGCGTACAAGTCTCTCCTCAAGTTGTGCCAAGATTTTGCGAAACGGCACAATTTTTCTCAGCGCGTGCCATGTCGCACGAAACTGCCGACAGGCGAAGTGATAGCGTTACAACACCAGTTCGCGGCGAAATTTTGGGACAAGTACCACGCGTACGAGCCTTGTGACATCCTCAATATCAAAGATACGGCTGTCCACTACGAGATGCCCCTGGCAGAATTTGGGCTGAGAAAGGACAGTCGTCGCGTGTAGACAAACCTTCGGACCGTTTGACAGCCGTGTTGACATGTCGTTCGAACGATAAAATTTTCCCATAACATTCACTGACGATATCGGAGGCGAAAAGGTTCCAATTCATTTTATTGTCCATGGTATGCTCCGTGGCTTGATCGACAAGACCGAAGTAGCAGCGGACCCTGAGGAGCATTACTACGATATTCAAGAATCCGCCTGGATGGTTGGTCGTGTGTGGAGGAAGTATCTCGAAATGCTTCCGCCCTACGTCATCGGCTCGTCCGTCATTATTGCTGACAATTTAGACGCTCATGTCACAAGAATCAACGGAAACAATTGCTGGAAACTGTAACTCGCTGTCATACTTCTGATTTTTGATCCTTGCATCACAGCTGATTTTGCTTCTAGTTTCGCTGATGATCGTGCACTTCTGATATTTTCGATGCTAATTTCACAGCTACTTTGTTGTTAATTTTGCTGCGCTAGGAGGTGTAGTTAAATATGTAGCGCTTCTGATAGGTATACATAAATTCTCCTGATTATAGCCAAGCCAATCAACTAGAACTAAACCACATAAATTAATGAATCCAGTTTTATTACGCCTTTGTACCCTTCATAGGAGACAATTTCTGAAGATTTGGTGCATTTTTTGTCTGACAAAAATCATATTATACTGAAGATTTCAATGTACTCATATAATTATTTCGCGCTATGCTAGTGTGAAAACCAACTTTATATCCAATCAATAGACGTTATTTTCAAATTTTCTACCAATCAACACGCCGTTTGACAAAGGATGGTTTACCTGATGGATTGCGCTCATTGAGACAATTGGACCATGGCGACGTCGGCGGAACCTCCGAAACCAGCGCGAGGATTGCTTGGTAACTTCATCATTGCGGCGGCGGCCACGTCGCTGGCAACCATCGGTTCAAACCCGATGGAAGTCGTCAAGACGCGCATGCAACTACAGGTACTCGTCTCTACACACAATGACACTTCAACCCATCCATGCTGACGTCGACCACAGGGCGAGCTTGCATCGAAAGGCGCGCCTATCGTCTACCGCAACTCGATCCATGCGTTCTACACCATTTGCCGACTGGAAGGCATTGCTGGGATTCAGCGAGGTCTCGTGGCCGGCATGTGCTACCAGGTACCTTCACCGCTCGTCGAAAGACATTGCACTCAACAACTCGTTCGGTCGACCAGAGCTTCATGAACGGCGCGCGCTTAGGCTTTTTTGAAAAGCTCCAGCAAGTGTTTGGCGCGACGGACCCCAACCACTTCTCGTTTCCGCTGCGCAACATGGCTGCGGGGGCAACGTCCGGTGCCGTCGGCGCCATGATGGGCAGTCCATTCTTCCTTGTCAAAGCACGTCTTCAAGCGCAAAGTACTGCCGCAACTATCAACGCCCAATACCATTACAGAGGCACGGTAAGGCTGCCACTTCCCTTGATCCGATTTTCATCACACCACGTCATGGGACAGCTCGACGCGATCCGCCAAATCGTTGCCAAGGATGGCGTCTTGGGGCTGTATCGGGGCGTGAACGGCGCTATCCCTCGCGTCGCCGTCGGGTCCGCTGCACAGCTATCTACCTACGCGTCGTCGAAACATTTGGTGCTGTCGACTGGATTGGTCGAAGATGGCGTGTGGTGCCACTTAGCTGCCAGTTTGGTCACGGGACTGGCCGTCACGACAGCCATGAATCCGTTCGACGTGGTCAGTACTCGCTTGTACAGTCAAAAGGTCGTGGACGGGAAGGGCGTGCTGTACTCTGGCGTGCTTGACTGCTTCAAAAAGACATTTGGCGTTGAGGGGGTCCGTGGGCTGTTCAAGGGGTGGTCGGCACACTACTTGCGTCTTGGTCCCCACACGATCCTCACGTTTGTATTTTGGGAGCAGGCAAAATCGTTGGCTGCGTCGTTCGGGTACTAGAGTTAGTTGCCTCGATGTTCGAGTTAGGAAAGGTCACAAGACCCTCGTCATCTAAGCGCCCTTCCGCATCCCTTGTGGCTTTTTCGGGTCGTCCTCCATGGTGTGCGGCGCGTCATGTATTCGCCGCGTCGACAACGACGACGGTCCATGCATGCACCGACCCAACTAAAGGGTCGGCATCGTCCTGATCGGGCATCTAACCACGCGAGTGCAGAGAGCCATCGCTCGTACACTCACGGAACCTCTTGTGAGAACGTAAGGCAGGTTCGTTGCGGGTCCAGGTTGATTCGGTACCCGAGCGCTGTCCGTACCACGCATCTTCAGCAGAATCACCATCGCATTCACGACCGCAGACGAGCATGCAATGCGCTCAAACGTCGCCGAGTGAGTCTTGAATCGCACCTGGCAACGACGCAGCTATGTCAGCCAAGGCATGCATTATGCGAATGGCGCGGCGATTCCTTGCGCTGCATGCTGGATTTTCAAGCAGCCAATCAATTTCACGTTAGAAACGTGATGCGAATCGGTGGGTCGCCAAGGTGACCTGCGCCGTGCGCGATGGCTGAGCAACTCCCGCGTGTGTTAGTGGTCTCTGGCGTGTCTAGCGGCGTCGGCAAGACGTCCGTTGCCATTGGCATCATGGCGTCGTTAACCCATCGTGGGTTGCGCGTTCAGCCATTTAAAGTCGGCCCCGACTTTCTCGACCCCATGCACCACACGGTCGCGTGTGGCGGCGTTGCGAGCGTCAATCTGGACGGTGCGATGATGGGCCGCGAAGGCGTTTTGGAATCGTTTGCACGCCATTGCCGCGCGTCCAAGGCGGACTTTGCCATTGTCGAGGGCTGCATGGGGCTATTTGACAGTCGCGATGGGCATTCGGACTGTGGAAGCACCGCCGAAATCGCAAAATGGCTGGATGCACCGGTCGTGTTGGTAGTCGACGCGTGGTGTCTCGGCCGAACGGCGGCCGCTATCGTGCACGGGTACGCTTCGTTCGATCCAAATGTACGCCTAGCAGGCGTCATCTTCAACAAGGTCGGGGGAAAGGCACATTCTCAATGGCTTCGGGACGCTATAGCGTCGACAGCACTCACGGAAAGGGTGTCTGTCCTCGGGTGCCTTCCCAAATCGGCGGCTGTCGTTATGCCAGAGCGGCATTTGGGGCTCCATTTACCGACCCCCGATAGCTCGACCAGTGTCCTCCATGAACTGCGACGACTCATTCACTCGCACGTCAACTTGGATTTGTTTGACCTGACGGCGGGTCCGGTATTCCCCCCAAGCGGTGCTACCGCGTTGTCGGCGGACCCATCGTCGTCAAGCGACTCGAGCCATGCTCTGCTCCCACCTGTCCGCTTTGGCATCGCCAAAGATGACGCGTTCTGCTTCTACTACCATGACAACCTCCACCTCTTGGAAGCTGCAGGCGCGACACTGGTCTACTTTTCTCCGCTCCGAGACAAAACGTTGCCGCCTGGCTTGCATGGCATCTACTTTGGAGGTGGATATCCTGAGCTGCATGCGTCGGCCCTCATGGCCAACACAACCTTGCAATCGTCCGTGAGGGACTTCGCACGTCGCGGCGGGTTGATTTACGCAGAATGCGGTGGGCTAATGTACCTGTCCCAGGCGCTCCACGATGGCCATGGAGGTTTGTTTTCCATGGTCGGCCTCCTCCCCTTCGACGTCACCATGACGCCGCGTATGGTTATGGGCTATGTCAACGCAACGCCGTCGCCTGCCTTGGTGTCGTTGCTGCGGCTTCCCCCGAACCTCGTTCTACGTTGCCAGCAATATCACTTTTCGGAAGCCACCGACAGCTCCGGGAAACCCATCGAGCAGCTCAGCCGTGAGGGGGTCGGCATTGGGTGGGCTGGCGTCGCGCATCATGCGTACAACGTGGCGATGGTGCACACATCGACGACATCGTGTCCGCCATCTCTCGAAGGCGTTGTGCAAGATAGCACGATTGCTTCGTATTGCCATGTTCACTTTGGGGCGACCCCCGAGATGGCGCCAGCCCTCGTCCAAGCTGCCCGGCGCAAGATGCGGTTCGTGTCGTTGGAAGCAACTGCGACGGAAACCCTCGGTGCCATCTGGTCCACAACGACTAGCGACGACGACGCGTTCCCAGCCAACCCGGCCGTGCTTCATGGCATTAGCGAGTTCTGCACGGCCCCCTCGTGGCTCGTAAAGTCGTTGCCAAAGCTCACGCTCAGTTTGATCACAGCTACCACGAGCCAAGACATCGAGCGCCAAGTCCAAGAGTTCCATGCGGCGGGCGTGCGAGACCTGCACACAATACACACCCCGACCTTGCGTGCCGCCAAACCTGACGTTGTGTTCACCCAAGAAGCGTGCGATCGGTGCGCCGTGACCGATTCGGCGCTGCTGCGGGCGTTGGACGCGATCGGCCTTGCCGCGACGACATCGACAGTTCTCTGTCGACCGCGCACCGTTGACGAAATGCTGCAGCAAGTTCTCCGACTCGGCGCCGTCGTCGGCGAGCCCAAGCGTGGCGAAGCGCTTCATGCTTCTCTCACCGCACGTTTGGAGCGCGTTCGGAAAGCGGTAGGGGTGACAAACCCAGTCAAGCCACGGGTAGTGGGGTTGGAAAGCGCGTTCCCGCTAGTCGTGTCCGGGCAATGGCTGCCAGACATGCGCATTCGAGCGGGAGGAGTGGAAGCGCTTTGGGATTCGTTCCCGGGGTGTCCGCCGCGTAGGCTGTTGTGGGACGATATCGTCACCGCATCGCCAGACGTGCTCGTGGTGGCGTGCTGTGGCAAGTCGGCGTATGGAAGTGCCAAGGAAGTTGAAGACCACCTCGCGAATCTTCCCGGGTTTTGGGACCTTCCGGCCATGCAAGCGTCGCCTCCGCGCTTGTTTTTGTTAAGCCACGAGCTGTCGTCTCGCCCAGGTCCTCAAAGTGTCGATGGCATTGAGATCCTGGCAGCGCTACTTCACCCGGAAAGCAACATCCCGATTGCTTACCCAGGTCCGCCAGAGTCGGTGCTGCAATTCACTGGCACACGCGAATGCATGCCGGCGATGACCGACCACTTCGTCCCTGTGAACTTGAGGCCATCGCTGCATTGTCCCTCTGAACAAGCGACTGAGCCAGTCTCCTTTCGTCCTGCGGACGCGGCCACGCCAACAACATGCTCGAGTGAACGAGAGCCTTCTATCGCCTCAACAGGGCCAAGCAATGGATCTGTGCCCACTGCTCTTCCAGTGTCGGCTCACGTCCTGCTCTCATGGCACGACAAGCTGCTCCTTTTGCAAGGTGACACGTCCCGTCGGCAGTTGGATGCAAATGTGCTGTGGGAAGGCAGCTCGTCGGTGGTAGACGGCAAGTACTCGTGGCGTCCCGTGCCGTGCACAACAGTGTTCGGTGAATCGGTGCCAACTCGTCGCTCCAACCATGCCGCGGTCGTGTGGGGTGACGTCGTCGTGGTGTTTGGCGGATGGGACGCGGCCGGGCTGCGTCCCCTCGCGGACCTCGAGCTCTTGGACTTGACAACGCGGTGCTGGACCCATGGTAGCTCGATGGGTAGCCCTCCATCTCCACGAGGTAATCCCTCGATGGTCCTCGAATCCAACTCGCACGTGTTGGTGTTTGGCGGTTGGAATGGCCGCAAGCGCTTCAACGATGTAACTCAGCTCGACCTGACTACGTGGACGTGGACGACGCTCTCCATGAACGTGGACGACAGCCCCTTGCATCCTTCGCCGCGAACAGATCATACAGCAGTGTGGTGGCCATGCGACAACTCCCCGCAACCACCCAAGGACGAGTCTTGCCGACGCCGTCGCGGGGTCATGGTGGTATTTGGTGGGTCGGACAAATCGCTCGGGCCGCGAAACGACGTGTGGGCGTTTTACCCGGACCGCACGGGAATCGCATGGGAATCATGGACGTGCTCCGGTGATGTGCCGTCCCGTCGAACGTCCCACGCCGCCATCCTTGTGCACGGCCACGTTATGGTCGTGACTGGCGGCCAGTCCCATCTCACACGCGGGGGGTCTGTCATGGACTCGGTGTACGCATTGGATTTGACGACGAAAGTGTGGCGTCGACTGGGACAATCCCTTTTGCATCCAGTGTGCAGGCACTCGATGGCGATACTTTCGAATGGCAAGGACACGAGCAGTGTTGACATGGCGGTCGTCGGCGGCTACGACGGCAAGAAATCCACGTCTCTCGTGCAAATCCTGTCGCTATCACAGGATGATGCCGTGCCAGATGAAAACGTGCAAGAGGCCATGTGCGCCACGAAAATTGCGACTCCCCCATCCTCGACATCACGAAGCGTATCCTTTCCAATAGTTGCACCCAAGCAGCACACGTGGGCGCCGATGACGCCACTCACTTGGTCCGACGTAGTCGCCGACGAGTCGCTACGGCAAGATCTAGACGAGATTCAAGACTTGGACAGCGACGACGACGATGATGTGGCAAGTGAAAAGTATCGACTGCTGCATCGAGTGGCGTGCGAGCGAGGGTATCGGCAGTATGTCGACCCTGGGTCAGGTTACACCGTCTTCACGTCGGTTTACTTGAAAGAGCGCGCGTGTTGCGGGTACAAGTGCCGCCATTGTCCGTGGGGCCACAAGAACGTTCCGAAGGGAGTGAACGACTCGAAGCCAAACTTGGACTGGTAGGAAATGCCGAGCCCTGTTTTGGTCGTAGAGATCTACCTACTTGTAATGCTCGAGAGGACCAAACACGGGCTTTCGCTTGGATGCAATCGCATCGACGCCTTCGCGGTAGTCGGGGGTTGCATAGCACACTGCCTGACTGCTGGCCTCTCGATGGAGCGCCATGTCCAGGCCCTGGTCTTGCTTGAGGCGAAGGGTCTGGAGCAGGCTGCGGGTCGCAATCGACGACCCCGACGTCATCTCTTCGGCCAACTTGACAGCCTCAGCCACCACGTCCTCCTAACAGAACCCAAGATGGAGTGCTGCATTCCACTGGCATGGACGGTCGTACTACCTTGCTCACGACTTTCGTGGCCAGGCCAAGCTCGAACGCTTCTTGGCCCGAAATCACCTTTGATGTCGATGAAGCACGAACGAGAACCAGGACAATCAAAGAGTACCTTGCCGCTAAGGAGTAAGTGGTTGGCCCTCTCGGCTCCAACGAGGAGCGGGAGATAATGCGTGCACGCCATACCCTAGTAGATCCATCACAAGGTAGGTAGAGTCGACGGGGATCTCGTACGGGGTGCAAACCCAAGTGGACAAACGTGAAGCCTAGCTTGGCGTCCTTGGCCACGACGCGAGCGTCGGCAAAGAGGGAAATGCACATGCCGGCACCGATGGCAGGGCCGTTCAGTGCAGCTATAAGCGGAACGGGAAGGCTGCGCAAGCTCAAGAACCGACCATAGAACTTGCGCATCGTGACCCTGTGTGCATTTCAAATGGTCATATGCCATGAACAACGTACGTGTTGCGGCTAGTCGTGTCGCTGGCGCGCTTCTGCAAAAAGTCCAAGTCACCGCCCGCCGAAAACGCACGCCCTTCTCCCGTCAACACAATTGCACGGAATTCGTCCGCGCGGTCCTTGATCTCTTGCACAAGTTCTACCCGAGTACTTTTGACTTCGTCGGGCAAACGCTCTAGCGTGCGTACCTTCGACGCGGTCCCCCATGTCTGCCGTCAAAGCGTTGAGGCGGTTGGGATCGTTCAAGCGTACGATGCCAATCTGTCCTTGCTTCTCTAGGGTGACGGATTCTTTCGCCGCGCTGGAGACGCCTCGGTGGACCGCAAGGCGTCGTGGCCCGGCTGCAATTCGAAGGCGAAACATCGTCGAAAGTGACGGCGACGACCACGCTGTCAAGTGTGGAGTCCGCATTCCACCAATCACAACACACTTGAAGAACGGGAACCAATGGCATGCGCCCATTCAATTTATTCAAGCTGGTTGAAGAGGATGGGGTCGCGGATGATGCTTGGGATGGTCGGCGTCAGCTCTCGGAAGCCTCATGGTAGTGCTCGGACGCGTGGAAGGCAAGCTTTCGCTTCTCCGACACGGCGTTCACGCCTTCTTGATAGTCTGCAGAGGAAAACGACGTCGCTTGGCAGTCCACTTCCCTCGCCAACGCAATCTCGACACCAACATCTTGTTGCATTCGAAGTGTGCGGAGTAGGGTCCGCGTCGCGACGGACGATCCAGCCGTCATTTCCTCTGCCAACGCCAACGCTGTCTTGAGCACGTCCTCCTGCATATGGAGCGTGACCTGGCATGGCTAGCTTCAAAAGAACACGCCCTACCTTGTCCACAATCTTGGTTGCCAACCCAAAGATCAACGCCTCTTCACCCGACAGGACCTGGCCAACACATCAGACACCCACAGCTGCATGCAAACCAACTCTACTTTTCCCGACAAGAGAAAATGCGCTGCTTTGTCCGGCCCAATGAGTTTCGGCAGGTAATGCGTCACTGCCATGCCCTGCCACAGAGAGTGAATAATCAGACTGCGTCGTTCATCCAGAGCCATGTTGGTACCGGATGCAGCCCGAGATTGACAAACGTAAAGCCGACTTTGGCGTCTCGCGCAATGACGCGGGCATCGGCAAAGAGGGAAATGCACATGCCTTCACCGAGTGCTGCGCCATTCAGCGCCGCGATCAACGGGATCGGAAGCTTTCGCAGGGACATGAACCGTTCGTAGTACGCTCGCATGATGGCACTGCCACGAACAGCATTCTTATGGACCAAACAATTCAACGAAAATGCTACCTGTTGCGCGTTGCCGTGTCCTGGATGCGCGCTTGGAGGAAAGCCAGGTCGCCTCCGGCCGAGAAGACACGACCTTCGCCCGTCAATACAACGGCCGAGAATTCGTCAACGCGATCGATGATCTCGCGGACGAGTTCTGCAGCCAGCCACGGTGTTAGTTGCCTTGGCACGGACGAGAGATTAGCGACGGACCTTCGAGGCGGATGCCCATGTCCGTCGTGAGGGCGTTCAGCCGCGTGGGATCATTGAGCTTCAAGATGGCAATCGTGCCGACCTTTTCCAACGTGACGGAGGGAATTTTTTGAAAGGGGAGTCGGTGCAGATCGATGTCGCTTCCGTCGAGACTACTTGGGGCTGGATTCTGCGAAAAGAAGCGCAGTTTGGCCTCGGTCGATAGGTTCTGGTACTCGGCCCACTTTTGTGGGTGCTCCGTTTCGAGGTGGCGTTTGATGTGATCCGTGCGGAACGCTTCCCACACCTTGCACCCGACTCGACGCCGTTTGCCGTCTGGGAGCATACCTCCCATCGACGTGTCTGTGCCATCGATGGTTGGAAACCCTGCGATCCCGCTCTTGCCTTCGCGACCGTAGCGGTCACAAAACCCACACGACGCCTTCGTGATGATATGATTGTGGAAGTCGCCTTCCTGCGGCACGAGCCCAAACTTCAGCTCGTAGTCCGGCTTCCACACGAGGCGTGCTTCTTGATTTTGCGTTCGCATCTTGCCAAGACCGTCCGACGACATGCCGCCTCGCCGTCTAATGCGGAACTGTTACGACGCGGGCACGGCCAAAGTGCCATCGCATGGCAAAGGATGGTGGATTTGTATCAACCTGTGAAACATTATAAAGCGTAGGGACACCCGACTGGGAATTTTCCCCTCGGAACGGATTATCCAATCACAGGTGCGCTACAGAAACGACACCTGGGTGTTGCATGCCAAAGTGGTGACGATGGCGGTCAAGGACCGACGACACCAAGTGCTGGCCGCCGTGCGCCGCGTATTTGCGGCCGATGTGTATGAGATACTGAGCCCATGCACGCCTCGTGACATGGACCGATTGCTTGTAGATCTGACGACGATCGCCGCCGGGCAGATGCGTTCCTCCAATCGTTTCAAAAGTCGTCGGACGCCATTCCCATTGCTCTGACGTGGTTGACCGACGACCGAGACGACGTTGAGGCCCATGCGCAACTCTTCCTTGTCAACACGATATATCGCGCCATTTGCAGTCGTGGAAGCAAAGACATGGCCAAGTACCAGCACCGCAAAGAAGATATCCTTCCCGTGTCCACAACCCAACTTGTTGTGTCGTGCTTCCATCAGCTTTGCACGCACATCTACGCAGCGTTTTCTCAACCGTCAACGCCGATGAACATGGCGAATCAATTTGCATGTTGTGTGACAGTCTGCATCCTCGGTAGCACAGAGGCGGGGGTGCTGCCCACCCTGGAAGGACTGGCTCGCCAGGAGCGAACCAAGACCACCGATCCCAACATGTTGTATTGCGTCGAAATGGCCGTCATCCTTGTGCTGCAACTCGTGCCCGAGGAAATCCACAACAAACGGCTCTTGCTCCGTATCGACCATCGAACGAGATGGGAGAACGCCGTTGAGGCCGAGTCGGCGGCCGTTTTGGCGGCTGTCGAGGCGTGCTGGCGTGGAATGCAAAGCCACGCTCTGCCAAAGACCCTGCACGACAAGATGGAGCACGCGATCTTTCAGGCGTTTGCGACGTGGGTTGAACACGGCCACTTGCCAGCGAGCACTGTTGCCAACTCTGTCTTGCTGTCTGTCGTATTGGACCAATCGACACACCAACTGCGGAGTGGATCACATCATGCCGTGGAGGTGCTCGTAGAAGTGGCTCGCGACGTTGTTCATGTATGCATCGACATGCAACATCTACCGCTCATTCAAGTGCTCCTTTGCTACGCGATCCACGTTGGCCGTGACGCGATCCACCTCGACATGCAGCTACCCACGGATCTCTTGCTGCAATTGGTTTCTCTTGTGGCAGACATTGGCCAGCACGCTCTGGCATGCCAAGCCCTCCACGCACCATCGAGCGAGTCGTTCTCGTTCTTGGACGTCGTCTTGTCCCTTACTGCACATGCGAACACCGACGTCGTGATGAAACTGGTCGACTTTTGGGTCGACCTGCGCGAATCGATTGCCCAGACCCCCGCCATGTCTGCTGCATTCGACCCTTATGTCCACCGAGCCGTCCACGTGCTGCTTCGCAGCACCGAGTACGCCCGCATTCCCGACCACACGAGCGAAGACTTTTACCAGTACAGAAAAGACATTCGGACTGTGTTTCGATCTCTCACCCAGCCTTCACTGCACTACCAGCACCATTTTGTCCACGAACTCACGACGCTCCTCTTTGACGAATTTGCACATGCTAACCGCATGGCCACGGTCGAAGTGTACGTGCATGCCCTCAGTGCGATGGCCAAAGTCATCGTCGACACGGACGACTCGATCGTATTTCGCATTTTGGACAACCTCGCGCGCTTTGCGGCCAACTGCACTACGCTCAACGTTGACGCACAGTCGCTCCTCCGGACGACTGCGGTCTTCCTCAGTGTTCTCCACACGTGGGCGGCGAAGAACGCAGCGGCGCTCCCCCTCGCTTATGTGATCCTGTCCAGGTGCTTTGAATGTTCCGAGAACGATCCGGTGTGCCCCATGCGAGTCGCGGAGGACCATATCGGTGCCGTCGCGCTGGCGAAAATCAGTTCCCAATGCGCACCTCACATGGCTCCTTCTTCATCGTCGAATTTGCAATGGCTCCCGGCGATGCGTTCGATCTACCTTGCCAACTCCCCCTGCACCACGACGACCCCTGCCATCATGACAGACAAGAGCCTCGGCCTCATCCTCGAAGCTTACGCGCACGTGGCTGCTGTGCCAAGAGAAAACTACTATGACACAGCCACGCCCGCCATCGTAGAGCTGTGTGGGGACATGTTTGAGCTCATGGAGACCCTGGTACCGCAATGCCGGCATCACGACCACGCCCGCGCACAGTTAACCCTCGTTTTGGGCCATCTCCAAACCCTCGCTGCATCGCTACCACCTCCCGTACCGGCGGCGCATGGAATGCACCCCTTGCTGCACGTCGTTCAACTCAACTGGTCGACGTTGCAACTGATCTTCACACACACACAGTCCCTAGCGCTTCAGTCAAAAGTCAGCGTGGTGTTTTCGACACTTTTTCGACATGTGGGTGCGGATGCAGCCTCGCTGGCACTTGTGGTGGTTCCCATGTTCATGGAGGCTTTCGACTCGACCAACAGTCGATGCTTCCTCGACGCTGTGGCCTCTACCCTGCATTGTGCCGCGCCCGACGCGACCCCCGACTTGAATCGACTGCTCATTCTTACGTTCTCCCACGTCGCCAGCCGCGTGTCCCAGCTCGCCTTATCCGACGACGACCTCGTCGCTGGGGTGTTTGACTTTGTCATTGTCGGGGGCACCCGTGCACCGTGGTTGTTCAGCCAAGCGTCGTGCTTTGAGTTCTTCTTTGCCTTTGCCATGGACGCCTTGCATCTCGGATGTACGAACCCTAGCTTGTTTCGATTCTTTCAAGCAACGTGGCTGTGGGCACGTGCCCTCGACGCTTCGATGGCGCCACCATCTTCATTCCAGGACGACGTCCGATCGTTTGTCGTCCCGCGCATGCCTTCGTGCTTCCTTCGATTGATCGCCGTCACGGCAGATCCACCACCGACCACCGCCGACGACACGATGGACGCCGTCGCGGAAACGTTTCTGCAAGCCGCGCATGCCTTCGACTCGAGGCACGTCGAGCAGTGGATGGCCCAAGTATTGCTGACCGACAACTCGTTTCCGAAGCAAGGAGTGGCGCCCAGTGTCAAAAAAGAGTTTGTCGACATGATGCGGCATCCTCATGGCGCGACCGCACGCAAGCTGCGGCGACTGTTGAAACAGTTGTGTAAGCATTAACCAAAAAAATCGACGCGTGGTGCACCTACGACTGAATACGTTGCGCGTGGATCAAGCGCCTGCGTACTCGGTAGCAAGGCGCTGCATGAGCTCCCACAGTAGAAACGTAAACATCGTGTGCGGACCGACGCGAAGATGGTGAGCGGTCCACCCTTTGAAGAGCCCCCGGAGCCCTTCCATCATCCATGTCTTCCGTATGCAGTCGATCACGCCGTTGTACAGCTGGCCTTGACCGGCTACGACGGGCTGGCTCGACAGGCGTGTGGCGACGGCATCGAATGGATGCATGCATGTCGTTACAGCGACACCGCTCACAGCAGCAGCTACAACGCTTGCATGTCAGTATATGGTCGAGCTGGAATTGAGAGCGATTACCACCCATGTGGACCCACACTCCGTCTGGCGACTGCAACCACGTTTGCACGACAAGCTTAGACGAGGTATACGTCGACAATTGAGCGGCCGTCCCGATCTACGGACAGAACGATGTTAGAACGAAGAAGATGGATCAAGTCCTAGGTAAACATCCTACAGCTAAACGAGCCATTTGACTGTGGGTGCCTCGCCACAGACCAGCGAGGCCCTCGGTGCGCCAGATCTGGCGGAAACCTTCCATCTAAGTATTGTACGTTTTCAATACTGCGAGGTCGACATGTCGTGTCGCAACGGAAAATACCATGGACGAGTAATGAAAGGTCGAATGGAGCTGGAACTTAGCATGGCTGTTGCAGACGCTTTGGCCCTGAAGCCGGGCCTTGACAAGAAAGAACGGACTTCCAAACACCGCGGCAATCATGCCTACCAACATCCAGGCGGGTCTTAGCCCAATTATAGTCGTGGGAAGAGTCATGTACCTGACATGGCACCGGCGACGGCGTTTCGAGCGAAAAATGTTGCGTTCGAGGGGTCCGTCGCCCCCACAGCCTGCTGCAGTTTTCCAAATCCCCCCAAGCGGACGCCATTCATAACCACCTATATACAAAGCGCGTGGGATATGCGGATGGAAAGCGAGCGCACGTTGTACGACATGCCGGCCACGAGTCCTCGTTGAAGCCCATGAATGCCTTCCGTTTTGCCAATCGTATAGATCGCATGACAAAAGTTGCGGTACACTATCCGTCTATCATGGCCTGCCAGCTCGCCCTGTCTCGTCAGTTATGGTGAGGTCATGCGGGTCGGCTTGAGCGATACCTGAAGCTGCATGCGAGTCTTCCATCGGATTCGACCCAGTGGTAGCCAATGTGGTTGCACTGCCAGCAAGCGCGAACTCCTCGAGGAATGTCCTCTTCCGGCGCGGCGGAGCTTGTGGTGGACTCTCAATGTTTCGCATCCTTGGGGCAAGATCGATGGCAGTCGCGCGCATTTTCGTTTGAGTCGTCGTCCTTGAAGACCTCTGAATTCCACTAAATCCACAACGCCAACTTTGTATTAGCTGCTCATATTAGCCATAATCCATTCGATCGAATCGATCAGAAAGAACCATTTCCTCTACAAAACACCGGAACTACCCATTGGCAGAGGTAAAAAATCACAACACCGCCATCTCAAAATCCTTCGCCCGATCTCCACTTTGGTGCACCGTGTGCGATGCATGTTGCCCGCAGTGGAATTCGTCAGAATAGTCGCTCTTGTCAAGCAATGAGATCCGAATTACGAATATTTTTTTCATGTCTGTCCTGATTTCATTATCCAGGTGTTGCTTCGCCGCGTAAATTTGATGCTAATTAGGATTCGCTCGTCCCAGTGAGTCGAAGTAAGGCTGCTGTGCATAACAATTGCATCAAGGTCGCGACGCCAAATATTTCATAAAATGGGTGATATCTCAAATATATTTTATCGTGTAGGTCACGAGCATCCGGCAATCTACATGCTCGCTCGGATGGATGGACCGAACGCACATCTATTGCTTTGGCAGGTAGACGCCCCCAGCGCGAGAGACCCATGATTCTGGGTTGGGCTTGTAGAACGGATCGATTTGCCGAATGGGACTCGGGCTGCGATTGAAGAATGCATCGTGCGTCCAGGGTTTCTTGGCAACGTCTGACCGGCGACCACGGCTTCGACTTCGACTTCGCGTTGCATTTCGTTCGCGGCTTCGATTCCGTCTTGATGCAGTTCGTTCGCGGCTTCGACCTCGACTGCGCTCACGACTGCGACTTCGGTCACGGCTGCGGCTTCGACTGCTCGGTGGACGTGGTGTGTGTTTGATGTTGTGTCGTTGCTCGTCCAGCTATTTGCACATGTAAACATGAATTCAAACGATTTGGTCTATGTGAATGCAGTCGTACGTCTGGTCGCACGGGGTCCGGTGGCGGCGAACTGGACCGAGAGCTCTCAGATGGCGACCGCGACGGCGGCGTTGTTCCGGGGAGTATATCGCGTCCAAATTCGTCCTTTCCTTCATGACGATGGTTCTTCTTGGCTTTCTTGGCCTTCTTCTCCTTCTTTTTCTTCTTCTTCTCGGATTTTAGAGTCTCGACATCGTTACCTCCCGCCTTCATTCGGCGCCTGAATGCAGCCGCCTGCATTTCGGCCTCCGTGAATCCACCCGACCACCTCGCCATTTCCCCACTGTAGCATTGCCATTAGCTTTGGGTCGTGGAAAGACACATACGACAGAAGATGGACGTACCCTCTCGGCGGCTTGGGGGCGCCGCTGGCCATGATGTTGAGTATTCCCAATTCCCTGTACAAATGAATAGTATGGATCCATCAGTTCATGCAGGTGTGCTTGACGCCCATCCAGCTTCAACTTGCTGGTTTTGGTACAGCCAGCCACAACGGCAGCCACTGACGCATGCAAGGCGCAGATCGAGATGCCAATGGGACCAAGGAAATGAGCGGTCGCATTCGAATGCTGCTGCGCTCGCCGTGTCGTGTGCTCGAGTTGGCAAGCTCCGTCAGCGAGTTCCAAATGTTCACGAAACATGCCTCCTGCCGTCATGCTTCTCCACTCGCAAACATGCATATGCGCATGGGTATAGCATTGCAGGTATAGTCCGATCACGCAGAGTTTCCAGCGCCGTCCCGCATATCACAAACAACCACCACGCAAGCCACAAAATGGGATGCAGTCCATCGACCTCTCAAGTGGCCAAACCCGTTGACGCGTCGATTCAGCCAAATTGCAACACTGTCTCGGTCGTGGCTGACGTGCGGGACGTGAAGGACCGAGTCGTTGGGAAGATCGTCGGTCGGCCTTTGATTGTCGACCACTCAATTGACGGCGATGGCGTCGTCATGTACAACATCGCTGCCAATGGAATTGTTGTGAACAAACGCTTCACTGACTTTAAAGCTTTTCACGCGACGCTTCAGAGCGCGTTCCCACTCTTACCACCGCTTCCCCCGTCTGGCTTGCTGACAGCCTTGAGACGTAGCGACCCTGCTTTGATTCAGGAACGACGGGCTCGATTCGACGATCTTCTCAGCGTCGCGCCGTCCGACCACTTGTCTGAATTCCTGGCCATCGCCATCGACGACTCCCGACCTCTCGTGGGCAGCGCTCCGGTCCAAGCGATCAAGTCTACAGGCCTAGTGGCTGTGTAACTCAGCCACCGACAACCCAAGCGGCCTTCCCACCCGAGAACTAGAGCAAACTCCATCAAGTCCAATACAACCTTCTTACGTTCACCCCACTCGTTTCTCCATCGTGTACTCCATTCTTTGCAGTTGTGGAAATGACTCTACGCCTTGTAGCCCGCCCAATGTTGCAAGACGAAGCAGACGCAGGAACGCGTTTGTGGGTGGGCATTGCGTCGCCGTGAGTTGTAGGATCGAGCGACCTGTCGAAGGAGGTGGTGGTGGTGGTAGGGATGGGCAATTGCCTTCTGCACGAGATGGACGCCGCGTTACAACACGGGGGAGAGAGAGTTTGTCGTGCTGAATGCACAACAAAGGAGCGGCATTTTCACACAGGTCTTTGGCTGGTTCCAAGGACAGTCTGCATCATCCTAAAAACGCCTGTTGACGTCACTTCTAAACTCGCGTCGTCGAGAGGGTATGGGGTGCACTCAATCGACTGCCAGGGTTGTGGCGAATGAATCTGCGTCGAGCGAGGAAGCTCCATCGCCGCCGCACTCTGCCATATCGACACGTACTGCTGAGATCGTGGACTGGTCTGTGGACGAGAACGGAGTAGTGCTGTACCATGTCGATGCTTACGGCTTCACCGGGAAGAAGCGCTTCAATGACTTCAAAGCCTTTCACCACGACATCCAACTTGTCGTGCCTCCCATGCCCGATGCAGGCATTCTCACGGCAATCCATCGTCGCAACCAGGCACTCATCCATGCTCGACGTCTCCGTTTTCAAGACATTCTCCGCGCTGCCCCACGGGACCGCGTTGTGCTGTTCTTGGACCCATGTGCAACCGTTGCCGTCGGCGTTAGCGACACCGAGAAATCGCACGTCGTGGGGCCGTCACATTTGACCATCACCACGAGTGCATGAGCATGCTCCGTGTTAACTTAACCATTCCTTGGCATTCGATTCCACTCAGTTCTGGACAGCTACTTGCACTGACCACCGTTTGGGGGCATGGCTTGGGGCCGCATGCTGCTTAAAACCACATGCTCCTGTTTCGCTGACATGGAGCGTTAGAATCCACCCGTGAAGGTATCGTCCGCGCCCAGCTGTATGTTGTGTCAACATGGGCGGCACACTCGGAACACCAACGCCGCCTCCGCCGCCAACTTTGTCGACGTACCATCCGCAGCCTGCCATCCACCGAGGACTCGACGCCTCGGTGTCGTCCTCATTCGAAGGCTATTACATTGCCAACTACTCGATCCATCGTGTCAATCGAGCTGCGGTTGTATTTTACCACATCGAGATGCACGGCGGAACCACGGTCAAGCGCCGTTTCAATGATTTCAAAGCGTTCCATCATGCCACCGAGAGCATCGCTCGGTGTCTTCCGCCCCTGCCGTGTGCAGGGTGGCGCACAGCCCTCCACCGTCTTGATCCGTACATGATTCAAGAGCGTTGCATTCAGTTCCAGCACCTCCTGAACGCTGCTCCCCAGGACAGAGTCGACATCTTTTTGGCCCCCCGACGTTCGAAGCAACGTCCCTTCAGTCGGCTTTGGTGTGTTGTGCGAACCAAAACGCTGTGGGCACGACATTGGTTCCAACGCCGACGCCTGCAGCTCAAACGTCGTAGACAAACGGGTCCGAAACAAACGGACGCCCCCACAGCGAATCGCTTCATTACCTTGTCGCTGTTCGCCTCAGCCCGTCGAAAAGGATGAGCGGCGCAAGGCCGTGCACGTAGATGGACGTAGTGTACATGCGTAGTGTTACAGATCGTAAGCACGCCGAAGGGGGGGTGGGCTAATTCTAACGGCAGTTCCTCCTCGTCAAACTAAACAGCCATAGTCGGGGGAGATTTGTAGGAACACGTCGTCGAAGAAGCGCTCGCCGCTGTAGTCGACTCCGTCGTGGAATACCGCCTCGTCTTCTTCGTACTTGATGTCTGTTAGCATGATGTCGTCGTCGACCATCGGGCACACCTGGTCGTCGTCGCCGACGTCTCCCTGGTGGTGGTCCATGTACTCGTCCAAGTGGTGCATGTGCAAGGGCCGATCAAAGTATGAGTCCATGGCGGCGGAAGGCGCCGCTGTCTTTGGGCCATGCACAGACGACAGGTCCTTGGATGTCATGCGGAGTGTCAACGCGGGCATGTCGGCGAGGACGGGAACATTGATCGTTCGCGGTATGCATTGAAACGCCGTGTTCTGCTGCAAGATTGCCGTCAGTGCCTTGTGTATACGGGGCACGGCATGGGGACGTACCATCGAAGAAGGCTTTCGCAGCGGTGGCAACTTGTCAAAGTTGGTATGGACGTCGTTGGGGTAGTCAGGAAATGCTTGGGACGACGATTTGTCCATTTCGGAAGGGCTGATGGAGCAGTCCGAAAAGGACGCGCCATAGCGAGGGCTTCCGACGGAGCACATGTCATCGCCCGAGTCAAAGTCGTCGTCGTCGTCGACAAAGGCATGCATAATTTGGCCAGACGGGTCGATGCCTGGAAAAGGAGTGAGGGCTCGCGTTGTCAGTATAATCGCGTACCATAGGTGACGGGAGACATGAGCTTGTCGAGCTGTTTCTTGAACGTCTCGAATTGGTAAAGCTGCTTGTCGTTGAGGATCCCGTTTTCTTTGCACCGATTGAGCTCCTGGAGGGAGCGCTTGAGGCTGCGGACCTTTCGGTACGGCCAATGGCGGATCCCAATTGACCGACACCTCTTCTTGAACGCGGTCGCGCGCACGCCAAACTTTTCCGCGGCGGCCTTGAGGGGGAGATGGAAGAAGTGGCTGAAGGCTTCAAAATTGCACACAGGGGACTGTACAATCATGGCCTTCTTGGCCTGCAGGCGCGCGACCCGTTGAAGGTCGTCTTCGTCCGACAAGTGGCTGCTGCGGGGCGAGTCGCAGCCGGTGTCGTCGAAGTGGCACATCAGTCGGGGGTCCATCGTCGTTCGTGCGCCGGCAGGGATTGATCTTTGCAGGATACACAGCAAAAGATCGAATGTAGCAGTCTTGGTAATGCCACAACACTACTGCTCGGTGTCGAAGAATCGAACAGTGGCCGAGGGGAGCCCCCGGGGGCATACATCGCCCCACACATTCGTCGAATGTTAGAAGAAAAAGGCATCCAACGTTCGAGAAATGGCCCTGAAATCGCCCAACAACTCGAGTCAATCGCCCCACTTGCTCTAACTTTCGACATTTGGCAGGAGTTACACCAAGATCTCGTAACGGTTTCACGCCAACAAAGAAGCTGTGTCGGTTTCGCGATGCGTGTCAAGTTTAGCGACCACAGCAGTCAACGTCCGTGGCATGCCCTAGCAGGAAGGGGTAGAGGAGCACGCACACACTGTGACAGGAGGGGTTGCGCACGTTGAATGAAGCCATGGATGTTCCTGCTAGGCAGAAACACAGCGGAGAGAGCGATGAACGGCGTTCGTGGAGACAACAGGTTCGTTCGCCAAACGTGTGGAAGGATCATGCGCCGATCCGTCCATCACATTTGTCAGGCAGCAAGGGTTCCAGATGAGAAACATGCACCGATTCGTGACGATCTTGACGTTTAGTGTGGGGGCGACATGCATGGCATGACAGCACCTCCGACACATTCTACGGAGCGACTTTATCCCCTTCAACGTGTAAACTCTGCGCAGGACTCGCATTGCCAAAGCGCATCGGCAACGAGCTCGAATGTTGCTAGCTCGTCTTTCTTTGACGAGGTTTCCACGGTGAAACTCGCTATAAATAGCAGCAATTCAAGTACTCAAAGTGGTGTAGATCCACATGCTCGGTATGCGCAAGGTCGGGACCACGCGGGCTGCAAAGCTCGACCGCAAGACGACCAAGTCCCATCAGGTGCCTCTCCCCTCGAATCGAAAGCAATGCTGCTTTGTGTGGTGCTGACAAGTCCCAGATGGTCGAAGACAAGTACCGAGCGAAAACGGCATCTGTGTCGGGGGACACCACAGGGCCTCTTCACGCCGAAGACGAAGAGTATTTGAAGAGTGTGATCGACAAGCTCGAGCAAGACCTCGCCCGCCGCCAGGTCCTTCCTCGTTCGACCCATCTTGTCAAGCGCGATCGTCATCACAATTATAGGAGAGCTACGTGCGGCGAGAGCGGCAGTACCAAGTTCGCATTGACGAGCTCGAGCGAATGGTGTCCGATGTAAGGACGAGCCCCATGGGAATTGTGTGGACCCACGTGAATCATTCTAGTCCCGGGCGAAGAAAGCGCCGAGTATGTCCCACGAAGACACGATGGCGTCGCTCCGAGGATTACACAAGAGCATCTTGTCGAGCATCTCGCAAGTGCAAGAGCGCACGGGCAAGATCCTGCAAGGTAGATAATCGCCGATGAACCTTCTCCATCGCTGATCGTGGGCACGACCAGAGCAAGAAAAGGACTTGCTACGGGCCTTCCGAGCGAGGCTGTACAGCGTCCAAGAGGAGCTCGAGACTGAAAAAAACAAGACGGATGACGGGGCGTCGGCGTGGATCGACAAGAGCAAGCAGCTCGAAACAGAAGTCGAATGGACAAAAGAGATGGCCGACCGACTGGACCGACTCAATCAAAGCCTCACGCGTGAAAACCAACGGCTCAAAACACAATTCTCCATGCAAGAAAACGACCGCGAGTTCCTCGTCCGACAGCTGGTGGCTGTCAAAAGGGACAACGTTCGGTCGGTTTGCGACACCATGATCCCCGACCGAGCTGACCGTTGGGTGGTTTCGTGATGTAGCCTTCGAAAAGAGCTCATGGACGCCGTGAAAGACGCTGAACGAGCGCGGGAGGAAGCTACTGCGCAAATGGAAGAGCTCGAGTTTGGGTCGCGAAATGGTCGGCAGCAGCCGCGAAAGCAACCGACGACGTCAGGTTCCGGCGCGATCGACTCGAGGAAAATGACGAGTGTGGTCAAGCGCGCGCCGTCCACGCCCGCCCTGCCTGGCACGTTTGCGGTGCCCGAGGTTGACATTTCTTCTATCTCTTTCGACGGTCGACTCACATGGCCACTTCGACGCTAGGTCGACAACCGATACAAAGAGATCATCAAGCGTCTGAAGCGGGTGCTCGAAGTCGAGCGCCGCAACTTGCGACAAGTGCGCAATGCGTACACAACTGACTTACAGACCCACACGGAGCTCTCGATCTTTGTAAAGCAGTGCATCGAAGATGTGAAAGACCAAATTCATGCGCACACATCCGACAAATCCATCAGGTCGAACGACACGATCTCGGTGCTCGGCACTGCGTTTGCTGCCTCCGACCGCCAAAAGGTCATCGACTTGCTCCTTTCCCAAGAGCGGGTGCTGGCGCTGCTCTATGCAAAGGCGTTTCCCTTGCCAGGAAGTGCCGCCGCCGTTCCCACGGCGACCTCCAACCCGTCCGACGTGACCAAGGACGACATCCGCGACATATTTAACGAATCCCATCAAAACGGAGGCTATCTCCTTCCCTCTACCCAACACCAGGATGCCGATGAATTGGCCGACGACGACCCGCTTCGCGATCGAGATTAAGCTGGCGACGTTGTAAATATGAAGGGAGTTGATTTCGCAACACGAGTGCTACTTGACATACCCATGGTGCAAAGCGAGCCGCGCATTCAGCAGGACGGTCGTGAACTCGGCAACCTTCTGGGACATGGTTAGCGCCACCATCGGGTTGTCCGACTCGATGCTAAACAGGTTGGGTGACAGCACGATGGCTATCCAAATCGTCAGGACATTGGAAGGCAGTGTGTTGATGGATACCCATGTTTTTCGAGCTCATTTTCGTCACCTTTTCGTTCTTGACCACGCCCGCCATCAAGTCCAAGAGCCACAGCATGACTGTTTTGCTCGTCTCGGGCACGTCGTTGAGCATGGCCATCACGCTTTCGGGAGTCTACCGTCGTCGATCGTTGTGGGCTCGACAATTGACGGCGACATCGGCAACGCTTACCTTGAGTGTGCATGCTTTGTACATTACTTTCTCGGGAATGACGTTGAAGAGACTCGTGGGCAGGTCCCGAAACCAGACTTTGATCAAGTTGGCCACGATGTGGACGTCGTTGCACCCGGCAAACGACCCGCTGTTGATGGCGCCCTTGACGCGACTGCACTGCTCCTTGTCTGGCGCGAGACGAAAGATTCCTTCCGTTTCGAGCCCTCCATGGAGGACCAGGTACTCCTTCATCATTTGCAGAACGGCCGGGATCTTTCCGTCATACCCTTCCACGACGCGCTTGGGCAGAGCTTCCATTGGAAGTCCAAACTGCTTGTTTAGCCCTGCCCACGCCAATGGCAAGCCCTCGTATCGAGCCAGGACGGCATTGAACGTAACATGCATTTCCTGCTTGGTTTCGTACGGCCGGCTGATCACGGTCCCGTTGTCGAGCGGCGCTATGGTACTCGTTGAAGACCTGGGACGTACGCCCGTATACGATCCAAACGTTGCTGCAAAAAATGCATTAGACTTTCGTAGGTCTCATGCGGAACAGCGCCGTACCACGTAAGAAGGCTGGACTGCTGCATGGCTCGACCTCTTCCTCTTGAAGATTGTCTTCCACCGCAGCCATCGCAGCACGCTCAACCTCATCAAAATTCGCCAGGGACTGGCGCCGGGAACTGCATCGCGACGACGACGACAGCGAGCTATGGAGAGATGTCGAGCACCGACGTAAGGATGGCGGCATCATGGCACCAAGTGGCGCACTGCCGCGTCGAAGGTCTGCTTCCTTCATCGGTGCAGGCGGCAACGCATCGGAACTTCGTCGGGACGGTGGGACGAAGGTTTGATTGAGTTGGGCGGAAGCATATTGCAGCCGAAGGCTTTGACGGTCTTCCTCGGACAAAAAACTTGGTTCCAAACGATGCTTGGGCATGGTGTCGACTGCATCGAGAGCTTCGGAAGACAAGATCGTGTCGACATCGTCCTGCAAACTCACACTCAATGGATGGATGATAGGTAATGTTAGCGGCACCACGACTTGGACAGCCTCCGCACATGCCTTGAGGTATTCCAACGAAGATGCTCCGTGCGTGCGAACGAATTTAAGGTACTACATGAAGCTGTAAAGGCCGCGCAGGACACGAAATGATGTGACGGACGCACGACCGACCTCCTTGAGCTCTGTCGTCGTCTTTGAAATGTCATCGTGTGGACCTCTGTCAGACTCACGCGACGCGTTGTTGCTTTCTGCCGCAGCAACAGTAGTGAGATTTTGAAGGATGCGAAGCACGATGGTAGATGCTTCCTGCGCCTGCTCGAGGTCGGCGAACGAGAGCCCGACCGTTGCGTCGGCGGAGGTCGTGAACTGGACAAAGTACTCGTTCATAGGTAGCCAGATGCAATCCTTCGTGAGTGGGTTGTTGAGCACGACGTCGCCAGAGTCTTCTACCCACCCCACCATGCGGAATTTGGGCAAGTCCGCGTCCTCCATAAACACATAATACTGTGCGACGGGATCGTCGTGAACGTCGCTGAGCATCCATTCTTGCGACGACTTGTCGAGCGAGTACAGCGCAGCCTTGAAGCTGTACACAGTGACTTCGGTACTACACCAAGCACAGTGAGGACGTGCAACTACAGAGGCGCCATCCCGTCCAGGCGCGTCCACTACCTCATGATGACTTGGATCTTGGCTGCACAATCTTGGCAGATCCGGATAATATAGCCGTTTCATGTTGGATTTGATATCCGGAAAAGGATGTTGGTGGACTTTCTTCGAGTGTCGAACAAGTCGAAAGGGCGCACAAGATGTCGACGTCCAAGGCGGGCCATCTCTTGTCGCTGGGAACCCATGGGATGTGGGGATTCTCACCGAGCTTTGATCTTCAGGAAGGCGTGTCGGAGCTCCGTGGCGATTCGAACCAGTTGGAAGCGGATGCGTCATCAACAGACCCGTTGTGCGTGCTCGTCGTCAGTCCCGGCGACATTCGCCACGTCTTGACAACAATTGCACGGTCTCGGCGATGGAAAAAGCGACCTCTGCACATTTATTTGTACGAAAAGTCCCCGGAATGCCTCGCCCGCGCGCTCTTGTTGCTTCAGGTGGCAAACGACTGGGAAATTCCCCTGCGTCAGCGATGCAATACGTTTCTCGAAGTGTTTGGCAATGCACTTGTTCAGGTGTGTTGAGATGATTCAATTGTGCCTGTTCTCGCGATCATCGTATCACGCGGCAAACGAATGGTAGGAGCGAACGGCCGAGTACATCGAAGAGAAAGCCAAGCAACTCGTTCATCTCGTGTGCAACGAGTCGGGGCATCTCGCTGACATCGTGGACTTGTCCCACTTGAAGATGAAGACCCGTGATGCTTTGGTCGAGGCATTTCAATCTTGGCACACCAGCGTCCCGTTCAACGGTACATCGGAACATCCATGCTGTCGAACGTCTCACGAACGTGCAGTGGAGCGCTTGCGAGACCAACGGCTCCGCCACTACTACGAGAATCGCTACGACTACCGCAACAATTTGATCGACTGGGACTACACGGTTCGTCCGTTCGTTCTCCGTCCAGTTGCTCACTCGAGTGTGTGCAGATGTCGCTGAAGAAGATCCAAGACGCGAGTGTCATTCATGTGCGGCAATTCAAGGAATGGCGCAACACCGGGGTCGCGTTTGAGTTTGGCGACCAAAAGTACACCGTTCCGAATCGAACGATGGCAACGTACACGGATGTAAGCCCTGAATAGTGAAATAGACATGCTGACTTGACACGTCAGGCGATGAAGAAAGGTCATGGGTCCGTGAGCTGCCGCGGGTACTGGCTCGACATCGTTGTGGGTCCGTACATTGCGTTTGGTGTGGACTGTTTCCGCGTACGTGCTGCTGCCCCTGGCGTCCCAATTCCAATTTACACGCTCAAGTGTGGCATTTTTTAGTCCAACAAGTTTGCCGACGGACTGTTTGAGATTCACAACAAAGGCAGTGGGTGTGAGCAGAACCGTCATGTGCGTGCGATGCCTGGAAGTAGCTCGTGCTGGCTGACATGTGCTGCATGACGCAGAACACAACGGAAGTCGCGGTCTTCAACGTTCTCTCGCACTTGCACGAGATTGAGACCGGGGATATCTACAAGATGAAAAAGGTACCTTCGTGAGCAGAGTGGGTGGTTGCGGTGGCTCGTCGGGACCATTGGAGGATTCGTATCAGCTGACACTCACCTTTAGGCGCATGACGTGTACAGCGGCATCGGCGAAATCGAAGACGGCAAAGTGCGCGACGGACCGGTCCAGGAAGGTGATGCCACGTCCGAAAACAACGACCACGACGACGTCCTCCCGCGCTTTGAAGTCCTTGAAGACGCCGACACAAACGCGTAAGAAGTTGCATGAATCATATCCATGAATGACTTCGTCTCACTCTCGAATGGTATTTGGTTCATGCAGGGAGAAGACGGATGCGCGGAAACGTGCGCAGCGCATTGTAGAGTCGTTTGATGGCGTCAAGGTACCCTGTTGACCATGTATTGCCGCCTCAACGAGATGCTCAGGTGATCCTTCTGTCGGGACCTGCCGCCGATTTGGCCAAGAAACCTCGGTATCAGCGTAAATTCAACCACGTCCATGTGTCTGTGCACGCGACCAATTTGATCTCGTCCCCGGACAAGGATTTCCCCATCACGAATATGTGTGCTGACCGCGCCAAGGTCTCGATCGAGGCCTCCGTGTACGTTGACGCCGTTTTTGCAACGACTGCTGAGGTGGAAGTTGTCCGTCGTAGGTACTTGTTGCCGTTTAAAGAGGACCAAAGAGTCGCGTATATGCAAAAGTTGGTCGAATTTGCAGGGGCGCTGGACCTGCAAACTTCCAAGCAAGTATTTGGCGCGAGCGACGCGTACAAGCGGGAGAATGCAGTGCTCAAGTTCGAGTACGCCCGCCACCCTTCGAAGCAAGCGACTGGTTAGTCGCCGAGGGCACTTCATGCATATTCATGTCGGCACAGTTCAAGCTAATTCTGCTCATGAGACTTCAAACCCCACGAATCATGGTGACCTCACGATAACTATTCTTCTTGAACGAATGACTGCTATCTACGCCGACACAATCACAGAACGAGGCACCATCGTCACCTGCTCTGGTTTCACGATAGAGGCGACGTGAGTATGCGCAAGGTGGCAAGGAAGAGCAGACAGTGGGGTTTAAATGAGTTAATTCAAGTAGGTCAATATATGGAATCGCGTGAAGAATGCGCCATGGAAGTGGGTCATTTACAGGTGACCACCTCGTTGTCGTTTCGTCGAGTTCGACAACGGACTCTCGGGTCGTTTTCGAACAGTGTGGCCGTGCGTCGTGCCCGAGTGAAACGAGTCGCCCACGAGGGCCGATGCTGGCAAGAGTTGGGCGGTTTTGGATTCACGGTGATCGTCGTGCATGACAACGGCGGCTTTGCCGAACCCAACCTTGAGTGTGAAGAGCAGCATGCGCGCAATGTCTTGCGCTTCCAGACGAGACTGCTTGTGGAGGATGTGAAAGTTGGTTGCCACACACGAAGACGGGTATGTGAACTCGTCACCAGACGCAAACTGGACGCGCATGTACCCGCCAAAGTCGTCCGGCAAGTGGATACAATGCACTGCTTTCCAGTACGTTCGATAGTCCGCTTCGGTTTGTGGAATGAACTTGCAATGGCCGCGTTCGAGGTTCAACCGCATCAGGTTGGTTGGCGGCGGGGCTATGGATGTATATTGAAGCACCCTGCACTCATTCATGCCGGGAACGGCGTGTAAGAGCGCATTGGTCACGACGTTGCGAGAAATCACGTCATCGGTAAGAGTCGCTTGACTTGATCGCATCTCTCGAATAAACGTATCGGCAGTCTTCATAGCGTACACGACGGGGGAGAACGACATGACGACATGATGGCCGACAAGTCGGATGTCGTGGATTTGTACGCACTGCACTTCGTCTGGTCGCAATTGCTTGTTCATCGTGAAAAGTCCGTTTTGACCCATGTGAACACTTCCCGCAGCCTTGATTTGAAGCAAGACGAGTGCACAGCAGAGTTCGTTCAACACAAAGTTCGACATCGGTCCTTTCTCTCGATGGATGTTCACCGTGACTCCGCACTGGACAGCACTCGACCAAACGCTGGGCATGTCATCGACAACAATCAGCGTCTTGCGTCCGTCGCTCGTGACAACGCTGTGGAGCACGCGTTTTTCCATCAACACATTGCTCAATTGGTCCATTGCGAGGTGGTGGTGTTCGCCACTCAACGTCACCATGAGTGTCGTCTGCGGCGAGCGCACGGCCATAAATTGTTGTACATTCACGCGTACTTCATATCTCTTGAGCGCGTGGCTTTCTTCGTACTTCATCGCAAGCACCCAACCGACGCGGCGCCGATCGTACTCCGCCGCCAAATTGGAAAATGAAAACTATTTGCGCAATTTATAGAATCTTTTTGAAATTCGACCATGCTGGAATAAACCGCTGGTGCAACCGGATACACATCCGGTTGGCCAATCACTGCCTTGGCCTTGCGGCCTTCCGGATATGTATCCGGCATCCTATCAAATTCAATGGCCGTGGCCGGAATCGACCAGTGAGAGGTTGATGTGGGCTTGACGCACGGCCGACCGATCGCCCGTGTGGCTCTCCACAGCCTGCGCTCCCACTGCACCCCCCGTCCGTTCCCTGGCTCCACCTGTTGTGCACCCATGACTTGAGGCCAGAACGAGCTGGGGTGGCGCAAGCCATGCATCAAAATATCCAAACCCAACGACACATGTGCCACAGAGGGGTTGAATGTGTTGGAGCCTGTCCAAGCGGCGGGTTCGTTGGGAGCCCACTTAGTAACTTCTGGGACGCTCGGAGCACCTGAACGTCGAGCGAGGACACTTTAAGTAAGTTCGCCGGCGCGACGGCACAAGGTATGGAACGTTGGAGTGTGAACGGGGAGGGGGAGTTGTGGAACTGGTTGGTTGGCCTTCGATAATCGAAATCGAGTGGGAAAGTTGTGTATCTTAACGATGTCATGCATGGACTCCCGATCCGTGCGACGACGTGACTTCGTCCAAGAGCAATTGATACTTGTGCACGATGCGCTGGAGGACGCGATTTGTCGCCATCTGCGGCAGCACCACCGTCTGCAGGAGCTCTCGCTTGGGCACGTCCTGCATGAGAAATGTCATTCGGCGTCGCATACACGGTGTACATAAAAGCAACCCTGGTTCAAGCGAGGCAGATGCGCTCAGCCGGGTACGTACCAGCACCGAGGATGTCCACGAGTCGGTGGAGGTAGTCGCGGACATGGGGCCAAGGAGCTCCTGGCAGATTTCTTCGAGGCGCAACACGTCTCCATCATGAGAAAGATGCCGCGCGTAAACTTTCAGCCTATAGAAGAACGTTCGTGCGATCGAGTAAAAGACTGTTGACGCACCAGTGCATGTACTCGGTGGAACTTCGCAGCGCCAAACTCGCGGCGACCTGATGTTCCAAGTGTGTTCGAGTAATGTGGTGCTGCTGGATCGAGTTGGACATTCCAGCCAGCATGGACTTGGCACTGCGTGTGTGGGTGGATGCGTTTTGGAGCCTCCGTAGCGTTCCTACCTACACAAAATGTCATGCCCATCATCGTTCAACCGCCCATGTCGCGCACGGGAATGTCTGCCGTCACAATCGCATCCGACGGCAAGTGCGTGTGAAAATCGGACGACGAGAACGAGTCGTCAGCTACACGCATCCTGTCCACACGCCGGTCAGACACCAATTCGATCGTTCGTCAGAGTACCAGCACTTCATGGCCACGTCGTAGGCGAATGAATGCAGCAAACTTCCCGTCGTTCCCCCCACGGCCAACGTCACGATGGGTTGACCGGTAGACGTCACCATGGCCCGAATCAAGGTCGACTTTGTAGTCTAACGAGACTGTTCGCATCGCACAATGACTCGTTTGGACGCGTACCGTCATGCCGCAAAGGGATGCCGCAACGACCAGTTTCTTGGCTTGAATTGTCCACGTTTTCACGTCGCCGTTGGTCAAGATGACCAACACGTACGGCGCGGCGCCGGCATGGCACTCTAAGGCCGCAAAAGGATACCCGAGCGCTACGAGTGTTGTCAGGATCGAATGAAAAGGGCATGGTACGTACCAATGCAGGGAAAGAGCCGACGACCGAGTGGCGACAGGATGTACAAGTGGCCGTCCGTGGTGCCAACGGCACAGAAAGACTGGTTGCCAGTCGCACATGATGCTTGGCCTGGGATCCTATCCATCCACAGCACACTCCCGCCATCGATGCACACAATCGACGTGTGGACCACTTCGTCGTCGACTACTTTGCACTCGATTACTTTGTCGGTCGACTTGATTTGGACGGAAAACATTGGTCGCCCTGGAATCTCTGCCATCTGATGGGCCATGGCGACTCCTTCTTGCGGAATCCTACGCCGTTTCAATGGTACAATGAAGCATGTCTATCTCGAGGTGGAGCATGGCATACACAAACAGATTGGTTGTGGAAGAAGATGACGTGGTTGCTTGCGCAGGCTGGTCCACCACTCGTTTCCGCTTGATCGGGGGAGTAAGTGCTGCCTCATTGTCTCCCGCTGGCAACACGCTGGGTTTGGACAGTGGATGGGCCGTGGCGACACCTGTGGTTGACAGCAGCTTCGACGAGTCTTGGGGCTTCTTGAACTTTGGTCGCGCGGTCAACACCGTCGCAGTTGTTGATGCAGCTGGCTTTGCCGACGGCACGTCTTGGGCTTTCGGTTTGGGCCGCGCCACCAACGTGAATGTGTTATTCGCAGGAGCTGCATCCGCGAGCGGCGTGACAGCCTTGCCATTGCTCGGCGTCAGTCGTTTGGCCAACTTGTCCAGTGACAACTGCTTTTGCTGTCCTTCCAGCTGAAACTTCGTGTCAATACTTTGCACAAGGACCGCAGACGGCTTACCTCCAACTGGAGTGGATTTTCCACGAGCGTACACCCCGCCGTTTGCCCAGCCAGGGACCCATACTATACGCATCGCACGTGAGAACGGCATGTTGATGCGGTGGTGGAGCACGTACGCGCTGCTGAAGGAGCCGACTTTGTTGCTGGCGGGAAATGGGATTGCCCAATTCGTCGGGTGTGAACTGTTCGAAAATATATGAGTGGCTGTAACACCACGGGCATGCTCGAACCTGAAAGAAGCAAATAGACCCGTCCAGGGACGCGCAAAGCAAGGTATGCCCATCATACGACCAACTGAGATCCGTCACGGACGCGTCAAAGCAGTCCTTGACCACCGCCAGCGGGCGAGCGACGTCGGCAAGCCAGACACTGACGGTGCAGTCGTCGCCACCCAGTGCACAGCACGCAAACTCTTTGTTCGCGGTCTTGGCTACACCACATGCACTCATTCAAGAGAAATCCTTCGAGTCGCATGGCGTACCCAACAGACGGGGATTGAATCTGGCACTCGTCACAACTCCTCGATGGCCCACAAAGTTGACATCGTTCCTCCACGTCTTTCGCTCGATGAGTGCGGCCACGTTTTGTTTCGACTATTCGACGCGACAGTCATCAAGGACGAGACCTCAGCAGACTGTCCGATGCGGAAGGATCTGACCTTGAACGCATGCGTTCCGCACACCAAACTCCCGTCCGGAGCCCACGACAGACGTCTGAAGTGCGACGTTGTCGTGCCTTGCTCAAACGGGCCGCTGATCTTTTCCTCGACCTGAATTGTCATTGCACCCCTTGAGCAATGGGGGTCCTGCTGCAGAAATCCGAGCGACGGGTCGAAGTACCTCCCAAGTGTCGACTCGCCACATGATAATGCACTTGTCTTCGCCAGCACTCGACAGATACTAGTGCAACACGGTGAGATGGAAACCACTCGGGCAGATCCTACTTTGCCAACAGGGTCCCACGCCACGCCTTTGACCCATCCCTGGTGCCCTGACAAGTGTTGCATTGGGTGCGTCATGACGGAGCTCAGATGATCCATGGACCATATCAATATGGAGTTGTCGATGCTGCAAGTTGCAAGCATGCGATCGTCCGGAGACCAGGCCAAGTCTTGCACGTCTGTCGACATCATTCCCGATTCAAGTCGACGGATAGTTCGCAGAATGGCATTTCGTACCCATGGTGTGGCTCTTCAGCATGGAACAGCGCACCCACTTCTCTTTGTTTGGGACTTGATTTGACCCGAATGGAATTGGCGCAGGTGGTCCATCCTGCAGTTCGTACAACAACACTTGATGGTCGTCCGAACCAGAGGCAAGGTAGCGGCCACTGTGAGACCATCGCACGCAATTGACAGCTTTTTCGTGCCATGTCAACGTCGCGAGAAGGTCGCACCCAGGGCCTTCTTTTTCTGGTATGGGCTCCAAGGACCAAATCTTGACGCAATTATCTACACGAAGTAAACGGATCACTGTGTTGTCTAGTGCAACCAAAAGTACCTCCGCCTGCCGTTGCAAACTTCAGCTCGCTCGGATGCGCGTCGATGCCGTAGATTCCATAAGCTGTTCAATGAGCGTGAGACTACGAGTGGTAAATGCAGAACGCCAGCCCAAGGATCGCATCGTCCACGGAAACTTCACCAGCAAGTTTGCTTTGCATATTTCGGTTGGATAAGAATGCGTACCATGTCCAGCCGCGTTGAGATGCTTGACCTCGTCGGGCTTCTCGATCAACATCGACTGGCCTCGCCGCTTTTTGCGTGGATGAGATCAAAGGTATACTCTTTAAATGTATACTTGGATCAATTATGACAATATTCCATGTTGAACAGGTAATTGAATATCAAGGTATGCATTTATACACATTCTGCCAAGCGGCCTCGAGCAGCGACGCTATTGACAGCGATACAGGTGGACATTTCCTCCAAGAACTCCTCGTGGTCAAGCCAGAGCCATGCCAAGTCAATGAACCAGAGGAGCTGCATTTCAAAAGAGTCTCTTTCCCTTTGTGGTTGTAGATTATGTATCGCTGCGTGTAATTTTCGCGTTTCTTAAGTACGCAGCAAATGCACCTGACTGAAGCACGCTGTCCCTCGTTAGCCGTCTGCAAGCCTCGCCCATTGCACGCGAATGCCGCTGCCTTACGGCGCTTCGGCATTTAAATGGTGGCGTCATGCCTACAACCACAAAAGTGTATTAAATCACGAATTTCTATTGGCTCATCAATATGGAATATCAATAATTGATTGGCTAGAGTACTGCTTGCATAAATCTGAGCATTCTGATTGGCCACAGTGTAGTCATTGCCCTCGAACAGCCCTCGCGAGAACGGACACGTAATGGAGTCGAGGCCCCATCACCACGCAGCACTCGATTGTGGTAGAGTCACTCGCGTCGTCAAAGGAGATGCTAGTGACTGGGCTATCCACCTATCGGAGATCGTTCGTCTCATTGCCCACCCCAATCACCGCCTCACCACCCCGCACACAAAACGATGCATCTGATCGCAGCCACATCGTCACGCAAAAACGCGTCTGACATGGTCTCAATCCTGACCCTCCTTCTCCGTTGTGGTGTAGGCTCTACAGTACATGAGCCTACCTACTCACGACTCCAATTCGCTCTCTCCTCCGCGGGCGCAAGCGCCTCCACATTGAAGTTTCACAAACCATCAGAGTAATAGAATCGCCGGTTTTGATTGGCCACATTGCGCAACGACCAATCTTTCGCAGTCACAACCCAATTTCCGTCATCGAACAATAATCCATGATGATCCGCCGTCCGCATCCCGTCCATGCGACTACACGCCCTCGCATGCGACTGTTGTCGGGAACCAATGGTGCTTATGCAACCCATCGAGTCGAGCACGACGCTGCGCTGCAACGACGGGCCCTTGCATGGCTGAAGAGTGAGGAGACAACACTGTTTCCTCCGCGCATCACTTTGACCGGCGTTCCTGTACACCCGAGTTCCCATCACGTGTGCAAGTCATCACGAATGATCCCATCGACGAGGCTGCCGCAACCAACAAATCTAAGTGGCAAGTTTTGGTTCGCTGTAGTAACCCTTGCCTGGTTCTGTGCTGTCACGACGTCAGCAGGTCCGATGACACAGAACGACGGATGGAACGAGAAGATGTCGATGCGCGAGAGATCCAGACTCTCGATGGAATGGTGCGACGTGGATGCTCAAAATGTTGAGGCTATGGTCTCCACAGAGAGAGCGGTACAACGTCCACAGCCGCGAAGAAATGGAATCGGTAGTCGACTTGCAATGTGGGCCTTACGGCACCTTCATGCACAAGCTTTCGAACCTTTGATTTCTCCGTACGAGCACATAACGGACATTCATGTTGAATAGGAGTCTTTTACACAGGAACGAAATACATGTGCTGCACATTATCCTGTCTGTGCATGCTATATGAATCACCGACATGCAATTAGAAACGACGGAGATGAAGAGCGCCAGATCACGTCAGATCGCCATCGCGCGAACCATCGGATTAAACATGACTTGAAATATATGACGCTTTACAAGGGCTTCTTCTTGATGGGCAACACAGCCTTCCCGACCAGAGACTTGTGGATGTGAGGAATCACACCACCACCAGCAATCGTCGCCTTGATCAAGGTGTCAAGTTCTTCATCTCCTCGAATGGCGAGCTGTAAATGTCGCGGGGTAATACGCTTCACTTTCAGATCCTTAGAGGCGTTCCCTGCTAATTCCAGCACTTCTGCGGTCAAATATTCCATGATGGCGGCTGTGTACACTGCGGCCGTCGCACCGATACGCTGGTTGTTCGCGACACGCTTCTTCAGGAACCTGTGGATACGACCCACGGGGAATTGAAGGCCGGCACGACTGGAACGGCTTTGAGGGGCTTTCTTAGATGCGACACCTTTGCCTCCCTTGCCACCTTTGCCACCTTTACCTCCTTTACCGCCTGCGGGGATGCCTGACATGCTGGTGCTTCCGATCGGGGTGAACTCAAAAATCGAAATGACCGAAAATACAGAGGGCCGGTTGCTGCGTGCGCTGATTGGCGGGATTTTTGAATATTTTAAATTTGATTGGCCACCATTGTCGTTTCTGGCTTTGGAGAGTGGGTTGTTCGATTTTCTTTCACCCGCACACACGCCAACATTATATTTGACAGGAAACTGTGAATGGATTCCTGCATCAGACCAATTTAGCTATTTTATTCTTTTTGGAACTATATTGAATATCACAGTATTACATCATATGAAGGGCGATCTACTTCCCCCCAAAATCGTAAAAATTTCAAATTCAAACTGTTCGAAATGGCGTGCATTCCAATGGCAGCGAGAACCTCAAGGTGTAAGCCCTTCGAGGACGCAAGCAGTACGTTGCCGTGGCTACGAACAACTGCATGACAACCCAGTGGACTGCCCTGACCGCGTGCAGTACAGCAGCTCCAGTTGGAACCGCTAAACACGCTGGTTCGTCAAGTTTAGCTGGTCTCCTGCACGTGCACGTCGCCTGCGGCAAGATGACTTGATGAACTTGTTTCCTTGAGATTCATACGCGCACTGACAGACCATGATATGACTTGGTCGAGTGTTGCGTTGGATGCCGCGATTGCCCGATGGTTTTGAAAGCGTTTGCTTTCATTGGCTGAAATTCATGATTGGCCCAAGCGAACGCCTTCGCTGATTCTTCAACATGAGTGCGCTCTACGCGGAAGCGGCGGGCGTCCTGGAAGGTCTGTTTCGGCGCAGTGGAGGGCTCAAGACATTGACGTACGCAGACAAGATCAAATCTAAACGCAACTGCTTTGCGCTGGTGTGCCAAACGTTGCGCTACAAGCCACTATTGGACGACTTGATCGAAGCTGTCCCAGAACTAGCCAAGCTCCTGAAAAAGACCGTCAAAGCTAGCAAGTCAGATAATGCAAACCCTTCAAAGAAGGGGAAGCAGCCCACCGCGACTTCGCACCAAGCGCTCTTTTACCTTGCCATCTACGATCTTCTATTTGGCAAGGACAAGAAGATCCAAGGCGGTGGGTTCGTCAAGAAGACCGTGTTGCTCCATGCAAATGCGTTGAAAGCCGCCGTCGTGCGCATGAAAATCAAGGCCAAAGTGAAAACAGACGAGGATCTGCTTCCCGAAGAGAACCGGATGACTCCCAAACTGCCGAGATATGCGCGCATCAATACACTCCGCGCCACCGACATCAGAGACACGGCGGATCTCCCTGCCGTCACCTCGTCGCTCGGATTGCCGACCGACGTGTCAGTATCTCTGGATCCCCATGTGCGCGACATCCTGATGTTTCCTCCTGGCACGGAACTTCATACGCACGACAGTGTCACGGCCGGGAAGCTTATCCTCCAGGACAAAGCGAGTTGCTTCCCCGCGTATGTTCTCCATGGCGAGCGCGGCGCAAACGATTTTGGCGACGTGATCGATGCGTGCGCCGCACCAGGCAACAAGACCAGCCACGCCGCGATGCTCGTGGCTCGTAAAACAACCGCGCCTCGTCCGATCCGCGTATTTGCCTTCGATCGTTCCAGCACCCGCCTTGATCTCCTCAAGAAGCGAATGGTTGCGGCTGGCGCAGACAGCATTGTCGAGCCGTGTCTTTCTAGCTTCCTGGACGTAAATGTGCATGACGAGCGGTACCAGAACGTGCGCAGTATTTTGTTGGACCCGTCGTGTTCCGGGTCTGGCATGTCGAATCGCCTGGACCACTTGCTCGAGTTGACAGCGATGCAGCAAGACGACATGGAGCAGGATAACGTCGAGCCAGGCGGGGCGGCGGCGAATGATACAGCCGCGCGGCTGCAGGCGCTCGCGGACTTTCAGCTGGAAGCGTTAGTCAAAGCTTTCTCGTTTCCACAAGTCAACCGTGTGTCGTATTCGACGTGCTCGATCTTTGAAACGGAAAACGAACACGTGGTCGTAGCCGCACTGAAGGCGAACCCGGCGTTCCAACTGGTCAAGTGCTTGCCGTCGTGGCCGCGACGAGGTATTGTCGTGCCTGGCTTAACGCCAACGCAAGCCGACTGTTTGGTGCGCGCAAATGGACTTGAAGACGGAACCAACGGATTCTTTGTCGCGTACTTTGAGCGAATAGCTGCCGCCGACGACGCAGGGGGTGCGACGGGTGCGAAGCGCCCGCTGGGGGAAAAGACACAGGCGCAGAAGGACCGGAAGAAGCGAAAGCGCCAGCGGAAGAGCGAAAAGGTTGCTGGAGCGATGGCAAGTGCTCAGGACGAACATGAAGACGTCCAGTAGCTCAAGCATGACTAGAAATATCGATGAGAATGCATCCATGTTGTTTGAACGTGTTTGGAGATGATTGCCTGCGCTGCAACGTTCAGGCGACTTTGACGAGTCTTTCTACACTTCAGGTCCTTACATGCTCCAAGAAATGGAGTTGTCGTCCGGTGATGGTGTGCTTGACGGTTTGGCCAGGCGGCATGTCGATGGAGTTATGGTTGTTTGGTTTGCATGGTTGATGTCACCTCTGCCGCGCCATGGCCGCAGTTTTGAATTTATGGGTAAAATACTCGACTGCGTGGGTTTCTTTGGCATCGTGGATCATGGCGAGGTGGGTACGACTGGCTTGGTGGGTTTCGATTTGGTCGGTCACTACGTCGTTCTTGGTCCCGAGAAACGTGGTGGCGCGTTGGTGGCTCTCGACAAGGTTCACCGACGCCTTGACCACAATGTTGCCTGCCTCGTGGGTTGAACTGGTCAAATGGGTGGCGGCCATGGGATCTCGCACACACACCCGCCACTGCGCAGTTTTCGCTTTACGAGGGGACGATGTACCTTGCCGGTGCTACTCAAACGCGGTCAGTGCCGGTCGCCCATGACGACTACGCTGCAACTTGAATTGAAGTCAGGCCAGTGGTCTTGTCCACGATGAGGAACCGGTCTTCTTGTCGAAGGTGAACAATTGCGTAGTTGCAGATCGACCGGCTCGAATTGGGTGGGTCCTTCTCCGGTCGGTGGCAGTAGTCGTCTGCACACGTATCATAGATTGTGCCGACACACCGTAACACGGGCTACCTCGATCATAGACGTCATCGTTTTCGTCGCCTTGTGTGGAAGACCCGACCGCTTCGATCGTCCACTTGGCAAGGTGCATGGCTGCGTGGATTTCTCCGAGGCACTCGGCCATCGACGTGTCGTAGCCGTAGTGCGCAATGGATGGTACCAGAGTCTCCAGCACATTGGCGAGGCAAGAGGTCTACCGAATACGGTGAGACGAGTGGGTTGGCCATCGTACGTACCTGGCCGGTCAAGCCGTTCGCTCTCACCCCCCACGACACGTAATGCTGCACTTCCTTCACGTACGTGGTGATGGGGTCTCGCTTCGTTGGCAGATCGGGACAAAAGTCGTCCAGACGAAGCCACACGTCGTCTCCGTGAAAGACGCTTCCTCGTCGAAATGGATTTGTAAAGTCCACCTACCTCGGCGGCATCCACATAAGGCGGGCAAAGACGAGGAAGCATTTCGTTACAATACGAAGAAGTGACCCAGGGTTGGCGCTGTGCCGTGGTCGGGCATTGCCGACGCTCTTTCCGCTTCCGCCAAACAACAAGCACGTCTTCGTGGCGCATGATTCCAAGTAGATGGAGCTGCCATACGTCACATGTTGCCACTTGGAGTGACGATAGCTGCCTGGGATTCTAGCGGCATCAAGTGGGCCTACATGCATGGGATGATCATGAACATACGGTTGGGGTGGAGGGGCGGACGCAGTCGCTTGCAAATCTCGAAACCACGCACGGGACTGCTGGGACGGCGACGGAGCGGGCGAGTTCGTGTCGCCAGCGCGTGGTTGTGGATGCTTCGACAGACTGAGTGACCCAAGTGCGTTCAGCTTGTGGACACTGGTCAAAGCTCGGCGATATACCGCTCGGTTCCAAGCAGCACCTTGCGGGTCCGTTCGCAGCTGGGTAAGAGACAGTGGACTTGGAGCTCCCACTAAACTCGTTGCGATTGCGCCGTGCCTTCTCCTGCTTGCGATAACTTCGTAGGACTTGCCGGATGGCTTATCATCGTCTCCACGCTCGTTTTCCTTTATGTGAAGTGGGACGGCGTACTTCAGTGCGTTCAAGGTCGAGAGGTGCTGAATCAACCGCTTCGGCGACTGTGGGGTGACAGAGTCTGTACTAGAAACGGCATCTGTGTGTATGGAATCGCGTAGAGGGTGTCCTGCGCTGACGTGAAGACGGCGGCGGGTGCTCTTTCGCACCATGCCTCGGAGCAGCATCTTGTCCGCCACACTGTCACGATGCATCACGCGAAAAGTGTAACCGTTACAATCGATCGTTCGAAAGGTCGCCGCCGACGAAATGGATTCCGCGTCATCGTCGAGCGCTGTAGAGACTACCGTGCCAACGGGCAACCATGCCAACACCGAGGAGAACATCCTTGGCCCCTCGCTGCTTGACGTGATGCAAAAAATGGGGCTATCAACCTTGAAGGCGACGTATTTTTCGCGGTCCGCGTTCGTTGCGCGCCTTCACGAAACTCTAGTCGGGCAAGACTGCACGAAGCGCATCCAAGAGTTTTTCGCGACAACGCTTCAAAAACTGGAATGCGACGCGTCTGGCCTCGTCCTCATTCAAGACACCAGCGTGTGCGTCTTCCTGGAATCCACTTCTGCTCAGTTCACCGATTTTTGTGCCGAGTTGCGATCGTTTTCCGCGCTCACCGATGTCAAAATCATCGCCACATGCGACGACAATGCAACGCGACTCATGAAGAGCTTGTACTTCAAGAAGTTATCCATCACAAAACCTGTGGATGATGCAGACGAGTTGCAGGTGGCCAAAGACGTGTTTTTCAACTTGATCACACTCATGCGCCGCCTCGGAGCTACCCCTGCCGTGAGTACCTCCGCACTCCACATGCAATGGAAGCTCACGAATACATAGACGGCCATTAAGAAGGCACTGGCCACCCCCAGCAACAGCGACCTCCAGCTCATGCCGTCCAACGAAGTCGTCACATTTCTCGCAAAGCGCGACGCGCTCATGACGTTGGATGAGTTCCACGACATTTACAAAGCGCCCATCTCGATTGAGCTCGAGTCCGAACGCGTGTGGCCGATTCATCCCCTCTTTACATATTGAGATGACGTTTCAATGCCTTTCACATCGGACCCATCCATACAACAGGTCTCGAATGGAGGTCACGCAAGGAACACTACTAGCATGGGGAGGTCGATGGAGCCGATCAGTTATCCTGGTGCAAGAGACACCAGGTGAGCAATGGTAATCAATTGGTGTTGAAAACAAATCGTGGTTCTAACCGGCGATGCTCTTCCTTGCTGCTATACCACGACATCTCGTCACTGGATATCCCTTTGTTAACACACAACCAACGACGAAATGAGAGATCCAGCGGACGTCCAGGACATCGCTGATGTCGTGCCGTTGAGACATTAAGTGGCGTCGGCGGTGGTGGCAGGGGTCGCCGTTGGGGTTTGCGGTTCTGGCGTCGGGAGCGTCGGCGGTGCTTCGGTCGGTAGTTTCGTGGTTTCTTGAGGCGCTGTGTCTACAACACACACGTTAAGGAATGAACGTCAAGCTTGTATTACTCACTTAACGATCCTGGAGTCGACACTTGGCTCTTGCCATCGACCAAACACAATCCGCCCGTGCAGTACCCTTCAGTCAACGACCGTTTGGGCTTGACAAAGTTGCAGAGCCCCCCAGGACAGGACCCGTCCTCAGCTTCCACGATCGTGCACACACCACCTGACCAAGAACGAACGATTAGGTATCGTGGTAATGAAAGGAAGGTTGTGGGCGTACCACTACAGTCGGGGCTTTTGCAGTTGCTACATCGCGAATGAACTTTAGACACCACGTGCGTGGAGGATGAACTTGCCCTTACATGAAGCAGAGTCCGCCTTTGCACGACACCGGCTCGCGGCAGTCGCGAAAGACGCAACCGCCGTGAGGGCAGTCCTTCTCCTCACAGGATGTAGGTTTCACAAAGCGGAGGCCGTCATGCGAAGGAACCAAGTCCGATGCCTTCGTCAGCTGCAGAGCCGCACAGCACACCAGGGTAAAGATCTTCATCGTGTTCACGACGGTTCAAATCGAAATAACCGTTCGAAACGAAGAATGTGAATATCCGGATTCCTATCGTCCGGATATGCACATCCCAACGAGCACTGATGCAGACTGCCGTCGACGCCGTGCGACGTCGGTGGCCGATTGCGGCAGGAGTGACTGCAACAGCGACGGCCCTTGTACTTGCAGGGTAAACCTAATGTGACGCCGTGGTACTCGTTCGTAACCTCAAGGCTGTATAGGATCCAGGCTTACACTACCCCGTTGACAACCAAGACGAATCGTGACGCAGAAGCCATGTCAAGCACAAACGGAGCTGAGTCTTCGTCAAATGAAAACAATGGGACACCATTGATACCGCCACGCACACCAAGTCCGAAAAAGCGAGGTGGTATTCACACGTCGGTAATCCATGCACCGCACTTCCACTTCTTCTTGGCGCCGATCGTCGTGGGGCTCTTCGTTGGCATCTACATCGTTTTCGTCCATTTTGATGTCATTGACATATCGAGTTATCCTTCTACGTGGGATATCGTGGCGAGATGCAGTCTCGTGCTCTTCGGCGTGGCTCATGTACTTCTTCTCCCTCCACAACACACCCCACATTAGGTTTTGTAGGGTCTGGTTCTTTGGCCTTTTCTCACAGAAACCCCCCGATTGCGCTTTTTCCGCCTCAACGTCATGGAATGGCTGGCTTCCTCGACCACCATGGACATCTACATAACGTCACTGCAGTACCTCACACTTACGGTGCGTGTCTTTTGAGTGTCGAGCTCTCACCCCCGTCTACTAGACTGTACTGACGCCAACAGCATTTCTTCTCCTTGAGTCGTACTGGCGCGTCATTGCGTGGACCGATTGCCAATACTTCATGCTGCTGGCGGTGTTCGACCTGACTGTCTCCAGTGTCCTGTGGCATATTTATTCGTTGGCCCACCTGAATCCCAGTACGTGTTCCTGCAGCATCCATGACTTGGCCCGTCCTCATCCGTAGCGCAGGCCTGCGGCACCTGTGATCGGCTGACATTCATCACCATGCTATTTATTAGGCTCCTATATCAGTTTTAAATATGTGTATGGATGTTAGTTGGTACAAACACAAGTACCGACCCACGCAGTTTCCAATAGAATGGCAATGGTACGAACCCAAGTGAATGGGGCTACAGGAGACGGAGCGGTACACCACACGACTGGAACCCCTCTCAATTTTCAGGGTGCATGTCGCGGAGGCAGGCAACTTCCCGCGTTTGTAGACCACCTGGGACGACACACCCATCGGGTAGGTTGCGGTCTTGCGCTTCTT